CCCTACACTTCTCCTAAAACTATATGGAAATGGATTTTGCTGGCCTGATTTGTCTCCTCTTGGAAATGTACCCAGCAAATTGTTCTACATCATCTCCAGCACAAGCTTTGTTAAGTTATTCCAAGTACTTATTTTGGTATAAATACAAGCATGCTTATCTCCAGGTCTGGTGCCCTTTTCTCCCCATAGTTTAGTTCAATCTGCCTTGTATGTTGTGATCATTTGGAGAAAGTGTTGAGGCACAACTTAGGTTTCTGGCAAGTCTCTTAAATCACTGTGTCTCTGACGTCCCACAAGGAACCAGATCAGCCTTGGCCCCTGCAACCCAGCCTGATGGAAAGAATCTGTGGGACCAACAAAAGCATTTGTTAACTTTAGCACTGGGTTTGGCGCATCTAATGGAAATGCGCTTTGACAACCTCATCTACTGAGAAGGAGGCAGAATACCCCCCCTTTTGTACTACAGGGATTTTTTTTTTTTTTGATTACTAGAAAAAAACGTAATTGTAGGTGAGAAGTGTCTCGGTCTGAGTGGAAGAGCATCGGATGGAGATGGGAAAACCTGATCATCTGAGAGAATTATCCCAGAATAGGTTCATGAGAAGAGAGGAAAGGGAAGTTAGAAAGAATCAATGGCTGTGTTTTCTTTTCTTTTTTCTGCTTTCTTTCTTTTTTTACAGATAAGATCTGTGTCTTATCCCCAGTAGCTAAATTCAGAAGGAATTGTGCGAGACCCTCTTCATACCTTCATACTGTGGAAGCTCTTGGAAGGGTTTCACTTAGTGCCAGGTGAGTCCAGGACCATCAGTGATCACTGGGCCCAGGGCAGGAGGTCTTCTGGGGGTGAAGCTGGAGTGGACAGAAACCCTTCCCAGGACATGCTCGGCAGGCCAGAGGAAGCAGCTCTGCTGTCATCTTTGCAGACCAAGATGTTTGTGGGGCTGTGAATATGATGTTTGGGGACTCAAATTCAGTAAGGTAAGGAGATAGCTTCCTACATTCAGCCAAAGCATCTGTTTCAGGACATCGTGCAGGAATGTGGTTTTGGTTTTGGAGTAATAGTTAAGAACCAGTTTTGGTATAATTCTTCTGGAATAGCTGCATCTGTAAATTTTCACATTTGGGCAAGCCTTGCACTGCTCTAAGTATGTATTACCCCATTGAGCAGAAGAGAATAAAACTAGATTTCCACTATACATTTAATCAGGATGAGGGCCTGGCCTGATGATGAGTGTCTTCACTCAACTCAACACGCTTCAAGGGCACCAGATTTGGTGCTGAGTTCTCCCGCAAAGGCCCGGCACCTTGACCCCTCTCAACTTGAGCATCTGAAAATAGAGCAACCTCAGCTGGGATTCACCTCATTCAGCATCATCCCTCCTCTGTGAGCCATCCCGTGTCTGTCCGTGGTCAGCACAGAAAAATGGCCATGGGGAGAGTGTTGTCTCATCAACCAGGCGCTGATCCTGGCTCCATGAGAAAGCCAGATGTTCGGCTGAGGCTGAAGTCAGCTCTGACATGGTGCAAGCTAAAGGAACCCAACCCCAGAAGTCACACTTGAAAATCACGATTGTGGATTTTAACCCAGGTGCCATCGCTGTGACCACCAGAGGCTCTATGGGAAACACGGAGTATCGGACAATGGACATGAAACCTAAGGAAAAAGAAACATGACGAAAAACTGAACATAACTGGCCTTTTCTTAGTTAAGTAGTCACCCTGATTACTCCAGCGTGGCGCTGTTGGCCTGCTGGTATTTTAATCAGAGGGTCCCACAAGCACGTTGCACTTAACGTATATCAAACACCCCAGCCAGGAATGCGGGCAGCGTAGAAAGGAACACTCAAAGATGAAGTGCCTCTTAATGTGTTTTCCTGTTTAAACAAAACCATGTACTTGCTAAACACAGCTAAGGACAGAAGCAACAGCCCTTGGCAAGCAAGCCTATCTGCAGCGCGCTCTCGGCGCGTGTTTACTCAGTGGGTTTGAAAAGTGTACCGAGTATATTGACATTATAATGCTGTGTTCATCCTGTGTCGTGCAAAGCAAGGGGGAGGGATGGCGATCTAATCGCTGGCCCCAGAGTTACGCTAACCCAGGATGTTGTTATTTCTTTGCAAATAGCTGGTGCTCAGAGGAACTGGATTGCTTTCCAGGCAAACTTAGAATAAAATTAAGTTCTGCCACCAATCAAAGATCCAATCACAAAGCAAACCCAGGAAAAAGTACTTGGGGGGGAGACAAGGACCTTGCGTGACAGCTCGCAAGCCCTGCCTGTGTGCCTAGAGACATCACTACCCAGAAGATATTGCATATCACCAACGTGTCACTACTGTTGATATGCAGCCCCCAAAACAGCATCTGGATATCAGTGGAGATGCAAAGGTCTGCCCGAGGCAGGACAGAGACCCTACACCCTCCCTTCCTGCATGGAGGCAAAACCTTATCCCCAGGCTTGAGTCCCCTCCAGCACATTCATGTCATCCTGCTTTTGGGACAAATCTAGGTAAAGGCAGGATTGCCAGCCACCAACATCCAGCCATTTCCTTCCCATCATGAAGTTGACATAAAATCCTGCTATTTGAAAAAAATCATGTACATGGCACTCTCTTTATTTTGCTTTTTGTTACAGTGCATGATCTCATTCTTTTCCTGAAACGATGAAGCCAAAAGTTGGAGTGAAACTGAGACGCTCAACTGGCCTCTGGGCAAGGGATCTGTGTGGAGGTACAGCAAAACTCAGAGCCGGCCCAGGCTCGCTGAGAGGCACAGGGACCTTCTGAGCTCCAACATGTTGTGACAACCTGCTTTGCTAATGAGCCAATGCAAAACTCGAAATTCCTTTAGCTGCAGGTGGTCTGGGAGCCCTCCCCAGCCCTGCATCCCTCCACGGCAGCGTGCATGCCCTCCCCGCGCTGCCCTGACACCTGGGCGGGAGCCTGGGGTGAGATCCCTGGAGAAGGGAGGGTGGCGGCTTTGCTCCTCAAAGGCAGGGAAAATGGGCAGTAGCTGCAGACGGAGCCAGCAAGGCCGTAAGGGAGAGCACGCACCCCGAGGATGGCACCGCGGTGCCCGAGCTCCTGCAGCATGGCCACGTGGCTACTCTGCGCCTCCTCCATGCTGAGGGTGAATGAAGATGCTTCACCTCCACTGGACATTGCTTCACGTCTCATGCTGACCAGCCCCAGATGCTCACCTGGTTGCCCCCAAAATCTTCATTCTGCTTGTAAACACTGAGGCTTTAAAACCACAGCAGTTAGACATCTTTCACAAGCTTTTTGGAGCCTGATCTTCAGGACTTGGGATTTCAAGCTTTCTTCCCCCACATCTAGGACAGAAAGAAGAAGCTAGAATGAAAAGTTGTGATGCTGCTAAAGCTGCATGACTGCAGCGTCTCAGTCCTTAACAAAAGCTCCGGATGCTGGAATGCAAGATGAAATAATTCAAATTGACAACATATTGTATTAAAAGCACTAAATACGTTTTCACTCTTAGTATTCCATTACTCTGTGTGTGACTGTACTTGTGATGACAAATCCTGCTGCTTAGATAAGGAACCAGCTTTGAAGCCAGGACTTGAATTAGGTTTTGGTGCTTTTTCCTTTGGAGGGAACTCCGCCTGTTTGGTTTGCCTCTTCCCACATTAAAAAGAAATATTCTCAAACCAGGAAAGCTCCGCTTTTCCCTCAGTTCTCTTTCAATTCCAGCTTGTTTTGGCTCCGTGCCTCTTTATGCCATCCAAAGCATCACCCACAATTCAAAGAACAGAAAAAGAGAAATCCATTCAAATAAAAAATGACATAAAATGGAAAGTGCTTTGGAGGGCAGAGATCAGAGCTGGGCAGCATTCTCACCCTCCAGCTCTTAGGAGTTTGTTAACCTTAAGGATTATTAACAGAAAATTCATTTCCTGTTCTTACATAGATTTCATCTGCAGTTTGTTGAGGGTTGGTTTTTTTTTTTCTGTTCTGAAAATGTTTTCCCTTGTCTGTGTTCACTGAGAAAATTCCCATTATATATCTCAAGAAAAAGTAATATCTCTATTAAAAGATAAGCCATGGTGCTTATGGAGTCCCCACCATGCACCAGGGTGCAGGGACCCCTTCTCTGGATGCTGCTGTCCATCCAGCATGAAGACTCATGGCTGCCCTGGAGCACGTCATTTTTTTCCTAAACCTGGTAAAACATCTATTTGAAGGATCAGTATGCATATGGGCATTTCTCCAAAGCTGCCTCCTTTGGCACAGAGCAAATTAAATTCAGTGTCAGCCCCAGGTCTGCTTGCCTCAGGGCCCTTTGAAAACCCCAGCTTTTATGTCATGCCTCAGACTCGCAGCGGTTTACTGTAAAACTTAACAAGCTTAATTTGGTTGGTTTTCTTTCTTTTTTCCCAGACTTAATTTGTCTCAGAGCACACAGTGTTCACCATATCCCACAAGAGTCTGTTTTGAGCAAAAATGTGGCAATATAATATGTACACACACAACCCCCTTAAGCTGTTCTTCCATAAGGTCTCCTAAAAAACGTGCACGTTTAGCAAAGGGAGGTAGGGAAAGTTTGATCATGAGTTGGCCTGGTAGAGATTTCAGTGGGATTTGAGCAGGGGGTGATAGATAATAACAGTTTATGTGTGGGGTCATGGTTTTGGTGGCGTTAGGGTAACCATTGAGAGGCGGGGGAAGAGGAACCTGCACATCTCCAGCTGAAAAGGTGAGCATCATCTGATGAGCAAAGAGGGGGTGAAAGGGGGTAAACCCTGGGCACCAACGTGGCCACCGCAGCAGAGGAGGGAGCGGGCAGGGGCTCGGGGACAAGCATCGCCTCACACTGAGCTTGTGGCTCAATTTGTAACATGGTGCACGAGAAGTTTATGAATATAAGTCCAGGGAAGATCTGTCTGAAGTGTCATAGCAGGCAATTTCCCTAATTAGGGGAAGTTCATTTAAACATGGAGATGTGCCAGAGCTAATCTCTGCGTCCGGTTACCACTCTGCCTGGGAAATGCCAGTGTCTCTGGGCTTGAGCGCTGATGCAAACTGAGCAGCCATCTGTCGCGGGCCCATGCTGGCTGGACACGGAGGGTCAGAGAGGAGGGGCGAGGAGCAGGGTAACACTTTCCTCTCCTTTGGCTCTGAGCACACAGATACTGATATGGAAACACCCACCCACTTCCCCAGAAAAAAGAAAATATAAGGGGGGATGGGCTGTTTTCCTGGCCCTGAACCACTACTGAAATGAGGGAAATGTAGGGCTGCAGCATCGCTCCAGCTCCTCGTGCTGGAAGAGGATGTGGGAGAATTGAACCAGTCTCCCGTGTGCTGGGTGAGGAGGAGGAGGGCTGGTGCCGAAGGGAGAGGTGAACAGTCTCACTACCAATGGCTTTTTCCAGCTGAAACACCTGACCTCCCATGGAAATACTGAATCGATTCAGGATGCTGAGAAAAATGCTGGTTAGTACTGGAAGCCAGGAGATCAGGTGAGGGGCTGATGAAGAACCTTTAATTTCAGACAGCTGAAAGGCCTCCCAGAGAAAGCCCAAGATGCAGTACAGAGGAAGCCAGAAACAATTACGGAGAGAGGGGCTGCAGATAAAGGTGTGAGATACCACCAGCTCTCAGATATTGCAGCCACAGAACTCTCTCCTCTCGCAGATCAATAAAAAAGATGCAGAGAAAAAGAAAAGAAGAGAGGAAAAAACCCACGTTCCCTGGTGAATACTTTCTGAAGCATCAACTCTTGGATGAATTACCCAACACCAGCCGTCTCTGAACTTGCTCCCCTTCCATTCGCTACCAATCAGTAGCTATTGACCCAAGCTTCATTTTCTGTTATTTCATGTTATTTCATGTTATTTTTATTGCAGTAGTGTGAGGCGGCAGGATTACTGCTGTGCTGTGCACCGAGGGGCAGCCCGTGAGCAGAGAACATTAGGGACCATGGTGGCGAAGAGGCTGAGTGCTCCCATTTCACAGACACTGACCGCAACTCGTGTGTAGACAAAAAGTCTGGGAAAGGACAAGCGGCTGACACCAGGCTTCCCCACAACAACCCTTTTGCATTTTTTCTCCCCTAGCGAGGGCAAACCTTTATTTTCTCTCTTCTCCCATTTTAGGATCACTCCTAGTAGGAGTTTTTAAATCCTTTAAAGCTTTTAAAAGCCTTTGCACTTCAACTTTTGATTTGAGATCTATATAAGTATGTGTGTGGGTAGGCACGTACCTTAAGGAACTTCTAACTAGAAGGCCCGTCTAGATTATGTGCTGAGTAAGCATTTCCCTCCATCACCCCCAGCCTGGTCCTCCTCCCCCGGGGCTGATCCTGCACCCAGCATGGTGACGCACAGCACCTTGTGCAGGCTGCTGGTCCCCTAGGCTCAGCTCAGGACTGATGGCACATTTCCACTGTGCACACCTTGCAGCTAGGGCAGGGTCTCCACCAGGTTGTTTCAGAGATGCTAGTGTCCTGTTGGTGCTTGAGGGAAAAAATAGCAACCACAGGGTTACAAGACCGCATGGGCAAAGCGAGCCCCAGCTCACAGCCAAGGAGGCCAGGAGGGACCTCTGTGTGTCCTGGAGCCACCAGTCGCAGCAGGAAGCTGCAATGTCCACCGCCTCACCGATCCACCAGCTCTGGGACTCTTCAACACCTCACCCCCAGGCATCATGCGTCCTACTGTGCTGCAGCTAGTCTAAGGGAAACCCTCACCCCAAAAGTGCTGGCCATACGCCATGGACACAGGTACCCTCTGTGGCTTCACCAAGGGCAAATCATGCCTGACTAATCTAGTGGCCTTCTACAGTGGAGTGACTGCATCAGTGGTCAAGGGAAGAGCAACAGATGTCATCTACCTAGACTTCTGTAAGGCCTTCGATACAGTCCCCCACAACATTCTTTCTGCTAAATTGGAGAGACACGGGTTTGATAGATGGACTGTTAGACGGATAAGGAACTGGCTGCATGGCCATGTTCAAAGAATTATAGCCAACAGTTGAATGTCCAAATGGAAACCAGTAACAAGTGGCATCCCTCAGGGGTCTGTATTGGGACCAGTACTGTTTAACATCTTCATCAGTGATGCAGACAGTGGGATCGAGTGCACCCTCAGCAAATTTGCAGACAACACCAAGCTGAGTGGTGCGGTTGACACGTCTGAGGGATGGGATGCCATCCAGAGTGACCTGGACAGGCTTGAGGAGTGGGCCCATGTGAACCTCATGAAGTTCAACAAGGCCAAGTGCAAGGTCCTGCACATAAGTCGGTGAAACCCCTGCTATCAATATAGACTGGAGGATGAAGGTATTGAGAGCAGCCCTGCAGAGAAAGACTTGGGGATACTGGTGGCCAAAAACTATACATGAGCTGGCAATGTGTGCTCGCAGCCCAGAAAGCCAACCGTATCCTGGGCTGCATCAAAAGCAGTGCGGCCAGGAGATCGAGGGAGGTGATTCTGCCCCTCTACTCTGCTCTGGTGAGACCCCACCTGGAGCACTGCGTCCAGCCCTGGGGTCTCCAGTGCAAGAAAGACATAGACCTATTCAAGTGGGTCCAGAGGAGGACCACAAAAATTATTAGAGGGATGGAACACCCCTTTTATGAATAAAGGCTGAGACAGCTGGGGTTGTTCAGCCTGGAGAAAAGAAGACTCCAGGGAGATCTTATTGCAGCCTTTCAATACTTAAAGGGGGCTTATAAGAAAGATGGGAGAGACTTTTTACCAGGGACAGGACAAGGGGTAAAGGTTTTAAACTGAAAGAGGGTAGGTTTAGATTGGACATAAAGAAGAAATTCTTTATGATGAGGGTGGTGAGACACTGGGACAGGCTGCCCAGAGGAGCTGTGGATGTGCACACCCAGTAAGAGCAAGGGCTGTGGCACAAGGACCTGGAGAGGCTCTCCCGTGCCATGGAGAGCCATCCCTGCAGCACTGGGGAGCCTGAGCCATGCTGCATGCCCAGGGCTGCTTTGGCCCCTACGGGTTTGGAAAGTGACTCCTGCTTTTAGCTTTATTAGGGGGATTTTGCTAATTTTATAGACTGTCAAGACTGACGTTTCTCTGACCATTTGTCAGAAGTGCCACAGCAAAAATAGTAGCATTAAAAATGGATCATACATGTGACTTGAAACTTAGAGCCATTATGTGGGCTGCCGCTAAAATTTATACCTTAATATTGTG